CAACAGTTGCGGCACAAATCTAAATGGCTCGACGTACCGGTCAGCGGGAGATTTGGAGCAGGCCATTAAAAAATTTAGGGTGAGAAAAGGGGCAAGGTGATATCTTTGCAAAATAGCGTCTGATATGTCGAATAAGATGGAGAAGGGTCTTTGTCAAACAGGGCAAAGAGTCAAAGAGGATTTTGTGAAAAGCACCAGGGTGTTCGGTTCACCACGGAACTATAGTCCTACAGCCCTCTTTAACTGAAAGGCCTGATAGATGAATGAAATGCTGCTGTTAATTGCGGCACAAGATCTAAACGTCTCGACCTAGGCTCGTGCATAGTCGGGTTAACAGCAATTGCTAGTAGTAATAAGAATGTCGTTAAGAGGAGCCTTTGTAGCACGGCATGCAACTGGATCAGACATTATTCCTGGTAGAAAAATAAGCCATCACAATAGGTTTCGGGCTAACAAGCGGCGTTTGCTTGTGACAGAAATTGTCTTTTGAGTCAGCACGGCCAGGTCAAAGGTGCAATCGGCGGTGCAGCTAGAAGGGGGCAAGCTGTTGAAACATTTCTGAGGACATGGTCCTGTCCGATGGGCCTTGATTACAGCGAGATGTCGAAAAACTGTAGTGTCGTTCACAGACCGGAGTTGACGCCTATGATTTGTCTTCTGATCACAAATTGTTATTTGACCCCTCCTCTATTGCAAGAGCGACTCGATTGACACGATTACGTAGAGTTTTCCGACGCCCTGGGTATACGGATGTAGGGCGACATGGAGTAAGTGTTATAATAACCGTTTCGACTCACTGAGTGAATTAAATTAGGTACGTGCCTTCAATAACTCAAAAATACAGAATTAGAGCTTACAGACAGTGTTGCGTTAGTAGGCTAAATTTTATTAGAAAAGTGAAGCCAGCGATTAACAAACATGGGATTTTTGGTTACTGGCGCATATTACATTTTGAAGAAGTTTCTCAAAACTTTGTTCACGCTATTTGACCCGCCAAGTAGCCGCTTGCGTATAGTTAGCGTTAGACCTTGTCGTGATCGTGGAAGACTTAATTTCACAGCTGCATGTTTAACCCTGCCACTGCAAAAACTGGTACATTGAATACGACACGCTCTTATTAACTTCAGACCATAATACACTCTAGTCCATGAAACTTCTCCAATTCTTACTATATGAAGAATTCTTGCTACGATTTGCCGAACAACGATACATAATGTCATGATGTTGCACTTTTCGCAAACGTTGCTGTCTAGATTGCTTATATATATAAGAAAACAGTAGCTCCCAAACTTATTCTCAATTTCGCGGCCAGTCAACTAATGCCTTCGTCAGGGGCGTAATGCCTTTCACTTTTCTTAGTGTAAACACACACGCCAGCTTTGTCCTGGAATCAGCTGAAGATAAATGCGTCCAGCCGTTGTCGACTTCCGCTCTCGCAGCCTGTCAGCACTTAAGTTAGTTTGGCTGGATGGCTATCACAGCATGGTCTCTGATACTAAATTCTCAGTAGCACTCACGAGACACAGTTGATCCTTCAGCTCCTACCACCTTCGAATCATCTCCTGACGGGTAACTCGCAAATCCGTAGGGGATTGAAACGCCACATCGAGAGGGTAACCTTGAAAAGTCCTCGAGAGTGGTTCCGAAGGCGCACGAAGTGGGCCGCTAAACCAGGCGGTACCAGTCTACGTACATACAATGCCAGTATGCACGCCACTCTATCGGAACAGCAGCTAAGAACGAACTGTCTCCGGGTTTCAGAGATACATATTTGAGCTCCAGACTCTGTGCTAATCCTGTAGCTCTGTGGCCCTACAAAGTGCAGAAAGAATTAGCTTTCTTAACATTCAGGGATTAACCAATCTTGAGAATAAGTAATTGCAGATGATTGCAGACTCGGTCCAACAGCCTACACATTAAAGTGATCTCTCTCACTCTTTTTTTCTGTTACCTCTTTCCTATTTGCCAATCGCTCTTCTCTGTCATTATAGGGACTTAGTATGGACCTGAACAATATACAGAGAAGGAACGCCACCGCTGCGGCGCCCATGTTTATGCGTTAGAAGGACCGCCGGTTGCTGATGCCATATACACCAGGACAGTATTTCAGGTATCTTTTAACCAACAACATATATAATGCTTTATAACTGTGGTAAATCGGACTTTAGGTCTCTTAGCATGTTTAATTACATATAAGCACAATAATGCCGTAATTAACATCAAATATAATGGATAATGAATCATTGAATGTCGGTTGTAGAGTTCGAACTGCAGTGCAGTTGTGCTACACATGTATGTCTACTTGCTAGCGCGATACATCACGTTAATCAAAAGAACCCCCCATATAAAACTCAGACGTAGTATTTTCTGGTGATAAACTGCTTTCATTTTCTTACAAATAGTCATTTAAAGTTATACTATTATAACACCACGTTGTGTACTGATTTATGTTAGTATCGACTATATCTATAGTATCTAATCCAAGTCAAAGTTGCCAGTCTGTACGCTGTAGACCACCATAATCATAATTAATACGTGCGTATATCAATATAGTGGGCAGTAATATCATATCATGATCATAGCATGTGGGCCTAATATTTATTTTTTTTCATTTTCATCATCAATCGAATCTGCGCGACCAACCTAGCTTTGTTTTTTTGATTCCATCGAAAGCCTTTTAGCGTTAATTTTAATCATTTTTATTTATTTTTATTTATGTATTTAGGCAATTATCCATCAATACAATACATAGCATCTTTAACAATAAATTCTGAATTCATAAAATTTGATAACTTACAGATATATATACAAAAAGCCATGATAGCAAATTTTCATGTTCCTTGTTTTGCTATGCCTGCTGTTACTAACATTATACTACTATCAGCACTACTATTAAAAGTGGTTTTTTTAAAAAAAAACCAAAAAAATTTTTATTAGTTTTTTAAAAAACTGCGTCATAAAATGTACATTCGCATTATCATTCTTTCTTCCCTGTCGATCCTATTCTCACCTCCCAGCCTCCTCCTTCTCCACTGCCCTGCCTTTCCTTTGATTTCCATATTCACATCCAACAATCTGCCTCATCTCTATCTGATTAATGCAGTAGGCGTGAAAAAAAATACTCTTAACGTGAAGTAGAGATGGGACCAAGGTGTATTTAGTCGGTTACACTTTTAATATAATTTAGTTCCATATTTCAACTTTAATCCAATGAATACATGTATAGAACTGAGCACATTAACTATTCCCATTGAGCGAAACCCTGGAGCCGCCTCCCCTGCCTCGCATCACTTCATCATGAATTTCAACTAGGCAAAGTGGAAAAATGCACAGAGCAAAAGCAACATTAAGAAGCAGTATACTTAGCAAAGAGCAGATGGTACTAAGTGTTCGACATCTTTCGCAGCGCGCATGTCTGTCGTCACTCGCTCTGCGTACCCTTGCGGCCTTTTTGATTAAAACTGCCCACATCCATTTGCGGTTCTCTGTCTGTCAATAGCCACACTCATCCTAGTGCATCTCCTCATTGATGTGTCTGTCGATATCCATACAATGTTTGTCATTCCAGAGCTGATCTCTGTCTGTTTTTTTATTATATATATCTACTCTATCTATACTATTATACATAAACTATGTGTAATTAGGGATTATACGTGTAGTAAATCGACACTTCAACAAAATCAATTAAATTTTTTTCTTATTCTCTACTGCCAGGGTTGAGGTGAACAACAAAAAAGTTACAATTTTCGGCTAAATTGCGTCTGAAAAATGGTCTAGCCAAATTAGCGATTCATCTTCAGTTAGCTCAGGAAGCCTCGCGAACGAATATGGAAATGCCTGTCTGCGAATGAACATTCAACGCCTGGAAACTTACGTTTGAATAAAAACTGCAACTCAACTGGGCTGTGCTTCGACTGAATCGAATCAATTCAACTCAGCTGCTTACTGTATTCCCTTCTCACATAAGTCTGTACTTGCTTATCATTTTGCATCTGATCTCTATACATCGTATAATAATTTCTTATATATAGATATAATATATTAAATTGTCAGTCTAGATAAATTAACAGACAGACATCACTTTTAGCTGTTACTCCGTTTCACGCTTACGCAATACGATTTATTACGCTCTGCCCCCGATTAATGCATCGTGAGCATCTTATCTTCTACCGATCAGTTATATACGACTCAACGTCATCTCCCCCAACAAACCTTTTCGCTAAACTCTTCTGCGTCCTCTATGTTCTATTGTCTACTTCCCTTCCCTATCCCTCATTGATCGATTTCCAATTATTTTATAACGAACTCCCACTGTTCCTCTTTTGACTCCATACCCTGCCCTTATGCTTTCTCTCTCATCTGTTCTCGATGTTTCGCTCTGAACGATTCCTCCTTCTGTATCCACCTACCTCTCACGCCTCCTTGCTGCCGCTATTGTTTTTACCCTTACAGAACATATCTCTCAGCTAGAATTTTTTTTTTAAACTGGTTTTTTATTGCACTCGTGAGGCAGCTTTGCAAACTTCCATGTATTATCTTCTCTACCAATTTACATCTTTAAATTAAATTAAAAAGCACTGGTGAAGCAAGGGGCCCAAACCCAAACTGTTTAGGATATAAATATCCCTCTAGAACAAAGTTATCAGCTGGAACGGACGGCTAGGAGGGAAGATGTTATCAACAAAATGGTTCATAATCGGACTAATGTTTGTAGCGTAAAGTGCCTAAGAGCCTTGAATAAACCTTATAGGACTTGCATGGCGGAAACCGGGGAGGAATTGCCTGTTCTTGTGGACGCTTTATTTGACACAGAGCGAAGGTTGCTGAAATGATGTGTACGCAACTGCATATCTGCATATCTGCGCCTAACAAATGTTACGTTTATAACTGTAGCAACAGACCTCAGATGAGCCCAGACGCTCTGCGGCTCTTGTTTATATTTTCATTATTTTGCAATAAAAACTCAACCAACTATTACATTCTTTCCGATTCGGCCGATGCACACAGTATCCAGTACGGGGGGCATATGTTTTCATGAACCAAAGTATCCTCATGACGTCAGTGTACATCAGTGGCTATCTAGTATCTACACACCATATATAGTGTTTGGGATACCATAGATAGTATATAACTTATAAGATAGCCAAGTCGGGTTAGGGTTAGGTGTTTTGCATCATTCTTTGATATGTATACGGAAAGTCTGATGCGGAAGTTGATATGCGTAGTATGGAATATGACCATGCGCAACCACCAGCACCATCAGCAGGGTGTATGCACTCAACTTCGGAGATAGCCGAGTTCGTGCATAACGTCAGTGTACGTCACGATGATACTTTGTTTCATGGAAACATGCCCACCATGAAGTACTAGCGGGTTGGATCGGATCGAAAATACGGGAAAAAGTATCGAGGATCGGATCGAGGAAAGAGAATCGCGATTCGATTCGATTTCGGTGGATCGTTACAGCTCTAGTAACTATCTAGGTGATATGGTTAGGATTAGGGTTAGGGAGTAGGCGTAGGCGACTCCCTAGACTCGTTAATGGAGTAGGCGAGGTACGGTCCGGCATATTAGATAGTAGTATTTAGTACCAGGGTACGTTTTGGCAGTACCCTGGGGGACATAGACCCTCTCAGCACTACTAAAGTCTTAATGTTTCTCTACTCTATTACGCCTATAATCACCTGTAAATGCCGCTCATAGGGTCTATGTCCCCCATGGTACTGCCGGAACGTACCCTGGGTACGGGGGACGGTCTGGTATACTGGAACGTATCCTGGTAACTATCTGATATGGTTAGGGTTAGTGTTAGGGTTAGGGTTAGGGAGTAGGCGTAGGCAACTCCCTAGACTCGTTAGCGTAGAGTAGGCGAGGTACGGTTCAGCATATTAGATAGTACCAGGGTACGTTCCGGCGGTACCCTGGGGGGCATAGACCCTCAGCGTAAATGCCGGTCAAATTCTCATCTGCAACACACAAGTACACCACACGTTAGCTGCTGCACACTGACACATAAATATATAGTCATTAAGACTTTGGTAGTAAATACATTAACATTTCATGTTTATTTACCTTTTTTTTCAGACGTTCCAAGTGCCTGTGCCTAGGTCCTTTGCAAAGTCAACGTGCAAGGTAAGTAGGAAGCTAGTGTCGACTAATATTCCAAAATGGGTATTATTAGCTCATCTGACATAGTCAGATGCAGCTTGTAGAATCGCATGATCGTCCGTCCGTGCGTCCGTCCGTGCGTCCGTGTATCCGTCCGTCAACAGTTAGGCACAAATCTTAACCGCTCAACGTACGGTCACGATATTCGGGACGTGGGGGGGTAATCCGAAAACGAGTTGGGATGTCGAAGCTGGGGGTCAAAGGTTAAAGGTCAAGAGGTGTAAAATAAGGGGGAACATTCACTCCTTAACTTAAGGTATAGGAAGGAAATGCAGAATTGCGGCACAAATCTAAACGGCTCGACCTAGGCTTGTGATATGTTTGATGGTACTTGTGTGATCGTGGAAGACTTAAATTTCACAGTGAAATTCTGCATGCAAAACTTACTTGAACAACGTTTACGCGCCTTAAATCATATATGAACTTCATTCTCTATATGAGATTCTGTACGTTGGGAATACAATGTCAATAGCACTTTCGCAAACGTCTGTTTTTGATTAAGGCCAACTATAAATAGTACTACCTCGCAGGTGGGTGGCTGATAGCATGGCTGATAGTATCACAGCATGGGCTAAACGTAGACTGGTACTCGCTCCCACCTCGATTACTCGCCCCATCGAGTAACTAAGCCGAGAGGTGGGACCGCGGGTACCAGTCTACGTAATACAATGCAGTATGCACGCCATCTATCGGAACAGAGTAAGAAGAATGTCTCGGCAGGATAGGTCAAATGTATATTGTGCTCAAAAGTGCAGAAAGAATTACTTTCTTAACTTCAGTTTAACCAATCTTGAGATAAGTAATTGCAGAAATGAATCGTCAAGCCTACCAATGAAAATTTGCCAGTTTTGTACTGTCCTTGGCATGGCTCTCTCCGTCGACGTTATACTAGTGTGCAATGTCGGGATATGGTGGAGAATGCTGTCTTGTGGACGCTGCAGAGCCCGATGGTTGACTGTCAGTTGAAATGTGTTGATCCTCCCTGACATTGAAGAAATCTGTACGTTATACGTGCGTCTGCCTTACCTCTGCCCGCCATCTTGGTCGAAAGTTTGGACGCCGCGTGGCGAAATCGGAATGTACATTTCAATCGATGACGTGACTGATACAGTAGCGCGCCGCGTGAGTTTTATTTGTTTATAAACAATTTAGTCTGACTGACTCTCTCCCTCTCTCTCTCTGTTTCTCTCTCTCCTCTCACCCGCTCTCTCTCCCTCTTTCTCTCTCTCTTTCTCTCTCTCTTTCTCTCTCTCTCTTCCTCTCTCTCGCTCTCTCTTTCTCTCTCTGCAATAAAAAAATGTTTGCTGAAATGATGTGTACGCAACTGCGTATCTGCATATCTGCGCCTAACAAAGTCTGCGCATGTGGTTGCGCATGCAGATAAAATCTTTACGCCAAGATAGCGGATGTAAGGTTGACTGATAGTGGCTTTATTCTTTACACGAATGAGTGGAATACATTCGGTGAACTAAAAGGAATACAAACATATAATATAACAAAAAATATAACAAACTAAACAATTTGACATGACCTTGCAGCTAACTACTGTTTAGCCTATAGTTGCCGTAACATAACCAATGAGAATTTCAAACATGACAAAACTTACAAATCATTCAGGCCACGTAGCGTGCATGCGTAACCGGACTGGCAGTGTGACGAAGTACATCCTTAGAAAAGTGACATAAACTCCAAATAATATAGCAGCAACTAAACAAAGTGGCGCCTGAGGGTTAAGCTGGATATAAAGCAAACACAACAACCAACAACGCCATCCTTCCACAATCTCGCTACCCTCCCTCACACACGAGTCAACATACAAGTGCTTCCAAAAATGAAGTCACGTGACAGCGCGGAAAAACCCAACAAACTGTAACCACCGCCAGTTATCCCTACAGTGGAGATAACACCGCCACCCTTTGAATTAACTAAATTCAACAATCACGACGCGACCATTCTAATCAATTTGAAACACCTTCTAACAGAACTACTTTAGTTATAGGTCGAACTAACTGCGCTGTTCTAGTCCTCAGTTTAACCGACCTCACCAAACCGTCTCTGCCCTTGATGGCCTCGGTAATTAACGCCAACGGCCACAAGTTGCGTGGCATATTTTCGTCCGTTATGATTACCAAATCGCCGACCCTAAGATTTGGGCTTTCATGTGTCCATTTCATTCTTTTTTGCAACGTAGGTAAGTATTCTTTCATCCATCGCCGCCAAAACTGATCAGCGAGATGCTGCACATGTCTCCATCTTCTCCTGTAACTATCGTTCCCATCAAACTTTCCTGGTGGCAAAACGGAGCCATTTCGCAGCAACAGCAGGTGATTAGGTGTGAGTGGCGATGCGTCGTTAACATCATCGCTAACCTTGGTGAGCGGCCTGTTGTTGACAATCGCTTCAACCTCACAAAATAGAGTCTCAACCACTTCATCTGTAAGTCTGACATTATTGCTTAACAAACCGCTTAAAACCTTTCGAATCACGCGGATCATCCGTTCCCACACGCCGCCCCAGTGTGATGCACCTGGTGGGTGGAAGTGCCAAGTAATGCCCTTTCCTAAACAATACGATCTTATAATCTTTTCATCCAATTGCCTAATGCTTCGCTTTAACTCAGCTTCACCTCCTGTGAAATTTGTCCCATTATCTGAAAATATCTTTTCTGGTTGACCTCTTCGAGACACAAATCTCCTCAGCCCGTTGAGGAAACTGTCGGTCTCCAAAGTGTTCAGCTTCTCAACATGTATGGCTCTGGACGCTAAGCAGGTGAATATGCAGCCATAGCGTTTAATCTCACATCTTCCTTGTTTTACTAGAAAGGGCCCGAAGCAGTCCAGGCCTACGAAAGTAAAGGGTGGCTTAGAGTTATCCACTCTTCAGAGCGTTCAGCCAAATCCTCCTTGTTGACACGCCGTTCCTGAACGCGCCTCTGCCAGATGGCAGGCAATGTCTTGGCCAGCCCTCCTTAATAACAAACGCTCTTTGACGATCCAAGTTACTTGGCTTCTTAAAAGGCTCAAAACTCATATCAGTACGGCCAGGTGTGCGACATTGTGTGCCTCTTTCACTCATAAGGACATAGCGAACGCTACACAGGATAATGCAAGTTGTGGTGAACAGTGGTGTTGTGCGTGTCTGAGGGTCTGCTCCTGCCTCTCAAAGCTCCCTGTCATTCTATAACCGATCCCAGAAGATACCGACGGCTGTTGAGGCTTTTTGGTCATAGCCATGATTCAGGGCCCTTGGTGAGCTTTGCAGCGAACTAATGATGAACACGTTTCCAAGCGCTTCTTCATTTCTTAACTGAAAATGTTGCTTATCTTCTCACAACAAAAACGA